AGCTGTTTTTCCTTACAGAGAACATGCACTGTTCGGCAACGGAGGTACGAAACCCAATCAAACCGTAAACCGATCCTAAGTGGAACACTTTCCTATGCCAGAAAAAGAATGCTGAACATACCGTGTCAGCCTCGTCAGAAACGCTGTCCATAGCCTCCACAGGTTTCTTCTTGGAGGGGACTGCATCAAAAATGCTCGTTTTCTTTGCAGCTATTCGTTTAGAAGGCTTGCTCAATACGGCTGGAACAACCATCAATTCATGTAATAATCACAGTTTTGGAAGTGAAACTCACAAGATGAGTAAAGTGTACCGGCTTTAATGACAGATGCTGTTTTCTGGCTAGATCTTGATCCACTTTGCGTCACTGCTTCCTTAAAATACAGGTACTCCAGGTACGTATTTACAAACTCAAGCAGTGACCATGCAAACTTTCGCCATGTTTGGTAGGCGAATGACAGAGCCTAGACTCTAGTTTGCTAAGCACTCGATAGTCCGATTGCATGGAACAGTTCTCACAAATTTCTGGTTGTCAACGGCATAATATTTTCTCGCAATTGCAAGGGATTTTTTGTATGACAATTCGGCAGTTTCACTGTTTCTATTTTGAACATACCACAGGAGGATCCGCTATCAACTCTGCCAGCTCATCATCAGAGAAGCCATCAACAATTTCAACAGGGCGCTGTGGTTCTTTGACGGGGTTTGAACCGACAATGCTGGTTCCCCTGGCTTTCGCAGGCTTTGAAGTTATTTGAGTTACTGCTGAAACAAACTAATGGCATGTCGGATATAAATATTTTTCTGAATCAAACATGGAGCAACTTACACGGCGTTTCAGATAATTGGCGAGTTTGCACAGCGGATAGGGGAGCCTTTGGTGCAAACGTTGATGTACACACCGTGGCCGCAGTGTCCTGAATTCAAAATGGTACTGTTAGGAGAATACGTCAAAGTAAACAGACCGACGACCTACGTCACGGGCCAGATCTGCCGACGTCCTACGGTTCTGCGAGTTGTCCAGTGGTGCACTAAAATGAGAATTTATTCGACAAAATGAGTGAGTTGGAAAAAAGTAGATCCAGATTCGTGAGAAACCCCAGAAATTGAACTACAAGTGATAGTTGAGGATATACCCGCAGAGCGGCAGGGCATATCAACTCATTAGAACAACACAAATGCCTCGCGTAGCGGGGATGCTTCAGAACTCGCCTTTTCACTTCTTGCTATGCATCATGACTATAATGAATCCTCTGGATGGAACTCACTTTTGGTCGCAAGTGTCAGGAATGCAGGTTGTCACGTTGTTCGCTATCCGGCTAGCATTTCTCACTGAACGCTTCTGAGACAGCTTCAACACAGCCGTTTCTGGTTGCGTATCCTCAGCCAACACGATATCCTGTTCGAGACACGGGCGGGCGAATGTTCACGTCAAAAATGCATTGCTAAATAGGAGGAAATCAAACGAGTGTGCTACCATAAAAAAACTAAGCTTTCCGGCAAGTTCCAGACAACGGTGAACATTTTTCTCTAATTTCACCGTACTGGTACAAGTTTGCCCAACTAGAGACATGCTACCTTCGATGACTTGTCGGTGAGTAGACACTTGGCTAAACCTAAGAACTTGACGTAAACCTATGAACTTGACGTGTCGAATAGGAAAGTCCCGAGGTTTAAAAAATTCTCCAGCGGTCAGGATTTTCTAGACTAGCAAATATAACAGAGCGTACAGTAATCATTTATCACCTTTTTTCGGCGTGCGGTGCTTCTCGACGACATTTGAATACTTGATGAAGTCGTATTATCTGGTAAGAAAGATGGCTCAGAAATTCACTTACCATTCACCAATCATATGTTTTACCTGGCTTCTGGGTAAAACGAGCGGATGCCAATCCACTAGACAATCCAACCGAATCTTTCACGAAGGAAACCATATTCCGCGTAGTGCTCCTTACAGAATCGACAGTTTGACTGTAACAATGAAAGATTTCAGGTAAGGAAAAAACCGCACTGTGAATCAAACTACCTGAGTGGCGTATCCTCAGCTAGTACAGCACAGTCGTTGTCCTCTTCTTCTTCAATCACGAGTGGCTTTTTCACAAGAAACGAGGATATCTGTAGAAGAGATTCTACCAAGAATTTCGTTGCATATGAAAATCCCAAAATTTAATCTGATCCCAAAGACATGGAACTCGCCCTCGCGGTTGTTCCAACCATGTTATTCGAGAAAAGACTTCGCGTGCAATAGAACGCAGCATTCTTCAGATCCATTCTTCTAACCCCTTTATGACTCTTTTGAACTAATTAACAATGCACCGAAAACAACTAATAACCAACACTCCAAATTCCTGTTCCCCAGTGGTTAACCAATTCATAGGCATACCCCATGCGTACAGAGGGAACAAATACGGCCTTTATCTGCTGACCCTTGATTATAGATGAATCAAATTACCTGAGACTGTCGAGGAGCCGACCTCACATTAGCATTCAGCTTTGATCGTTTACTTTCCCTTTGTGATCCATCACTTTTGTCAGCTACACTTTTCCTTTTGACAGCTGCACCCTAAAGGCCAAAGAGTAAGAACTGGAGAAAATAATGGACAAAATCAAGTGTAATGACCTGCTTAGACGATATGACATCATCGCTAGAGGTTGAATGCAAGCTCAGGTGCTTCGATGGGAAGGAAACAGTCAGTTCAACGTCTCCCACGAAAATATGATCTCCATCTCGGACGATCTCCGATCTGTCTTTTACAAGCGTTCCATTTACTGAGGTTCCGTAAGTACTCGAATCAAAGAAGCTGAGCTCATTCTAAAAAGACGGACTAGTTTGCAGGACTGAAATTGAAGAGGTCGTTACCGGAAGAATTCGAAGAAACTTGAACAGATATTTGTTCAAGCTTCTCTTTTTCCTGAAGAGATGGTTCACTGCGCAGTCAATACCTCATTGATCCACTTGAGCGAGCCGTGCACTCTAGAAACACCTTGGGCGTTGATAGGAAGAACTATGCCGCATTTCTTCTTATCGCGGCCAACTGAGACAGTATCACCAATGGTATCGAAGACGTATAACACTAGAATTTCGAAAGATCAGCCAATAACACACTAGCCTTCATCTTATTGTTAGTCAATTTTCCCAAAAAACACCGCTACTGCAAGATGGGACAGAAAAAGACGGGAAATAATAATACTCCCCAGGAACCCGTTTTAGGGTTTACTGAGTAAATGCAAATACTGCATCACTGGCTATCAATCCAGTGTACATTGCGTGGTGCGCCGAGGTGCCCCACACTAACACACTGCGATGTCCCTTTTTCTGATTCAATCAACAACTCCCCGAGTTCCAATGATGTACATATACTTTTTGAATGCGGAAAGCGAAGTAGTTACAGATATTCAACGAAACGGCTGTCAGTTATTCAGTATTGAGGAGAAAAAATAACAAAAGATGTGGAGAATCGCGAAGTAGGGCAGCAACGGGGCAGCAACGTGTTAGTGTTCGCAAGTGTCAAGATCAAAAGACAGAGAATTCGGCTCTGAGTGCTCTTGTTCTGAGCGCATTCATCCTGCTCCCTCAAATTGAAGTCGAATGCGTGCCGCATCGTCAAAAATGGCTTGGTGTTCGAATGTGAGACTTACTTATGATCTTTCATTAAAAAAGTGGACGTCCCCTCCGGAGTCAAACAAACATTTTTAGAAGATTGTGTTGATATAGCTAAAAATAACGCTGTTTGTCAGCAAAACTCAACGAAGCGATCAACTCAAGAGGTGCGGTATAACAAATCTTTGAGCTGATTATCTTCAAATTTGCCTTGGAGACCACATATAATTATTAGGTACAGTTCTCCCAATTACTCTTTCTTATTACAGTACACAATCAGCCTCACCGAAATGGTTCAAAACTCGATGTCGAATTTGACAGTACCAACCTTTACCGGAATCATCTAGAACCCGTACACCTTCCATAGAATTTGATTTGATCATAAACCTTTCATAGCGGAGCAAATACAAGTCTATAACGAAAAAACACATTGTAGGAGAAAAGACTTTAGCACTGTAAGGATCACTACCTAAACAATTTTTCTGCAAGTAGTAGTCCTTTCTGAAATGACAGCTATAAAGGCGAGGAATTTGCTAACACGTATCTGGCGTAGTACGCGTTTGAACGACACAACACGAGATTATAGACATCATTCATTTTAGCAGAAATAACAACAACAATCAAAGGCGCTTGCTTAGAACTGGATGACTTGGCCACGTGCCTTCTTTTGTCCTCCCAACTCGAAGTGCTTGCATCTGAAACTGATTGATCAAGATTGGCCATATCTGCAGGCACAATGAATAAGAACTGAATCTTTACTTCTTCCACTTTCACTCCTGCTTTGGTAAGAAATTTTTGGGACAAGCAAAAAAAAAGGAAAATTCATGTCTAAAACGAGCTCAGAGAAAGTCAAGGATTGGACAAATTGTTATGGTTATTTACCGCTTGATCGGCAACTGCTTCTTATGTTTGCACTCGGTACATTCCATACGAAGCACAATCTTCTTTGTGGTCTTGGCCTTCTTTCTGAAGATGGGCTTGGTTTGACCACCGAACCCGGCCTGTTTACGATCGTAACGTCGTCGACCTTAAATAGTAGGATAACAATTTAGCATAAAATAAAGGCGAAGCTGCACAGAACAAAAACGTCTCGCAAATGAAAACGACCGCTCATCATATCTTCATGCCTCGTTTGACAGCGGGTACCTTCAGCTTCACTCTTTTAGCTACCACTAGAATAGCAAAACAGTATGGTCTACAGTAAAATTAAAAAAAAAGTCTCACAGTAACTCTGGAATAACGAATATCAGATGGATGCTCAGCTTATGGGCGGAGCACTTTGCCCCACGAAGGGAATTACCCCGCTCCTCTCGCATTCCGGGAATTTATGCTTCCACGTTTATGCTCCATGTGATAACGTTACAATAGCTTCTATGCGTGAAGCATGATTAACAACCAAGAACAAATCAAAAAGCTATTTAATATGTTGGCGGAATTATGGTCGTTGCATCATACCTCTTTCAAACCGGGAGTTTTTCAAGCGTTTGATCTTCATACCCTAGAAGGGACGGAGTGAATGAGCAAGGCTGCTTACGATGTCGTGAAAACGAGGACAAGTTACTGTAATAATGCGACAATTGAACTTGCATAAATGTTTGGAAGCTTATCCGTCTACGATTCAGAAAAAAAAACAATTTGTCCTCTGCTCAGTTGTCTCCGCTAAAGCACAAGCCGACACCTAAGCGGCAACTGTCGAAAAACAAACATGGACCAAAGCCGTACAACCCATGAAAATACATCTGTAGAAGAAAAGGCGGACCACTAGACACTCAATGCAGGCAACCATCGGCAACATAGCCATTGTGGTGCAAGGTTTTAGGAGCACCTATAGTTGGATTAAATACTGTAAGTGAAAAGGTGAAAATTAGATGAAGGTATGCAGAATCAAAAACAAGCCAAATGATGGAGGACGTATCTTAATATTCACCTTTTCACAAACTAATCTTTCTTTTATGCTGCAGGTTGGATAAATTCATTGCGGTGAGACAGGATTATCCTGGTGAGAAAAACTTCCATTTCAGTCAAAAACAATAACGCGACGTAACCTACAAATGAAGCGCAAGACTACACTGTGGCAGTTAAGCAATAGTGACATGAATAACGAATCCACTAATCTTCGCAAACGGAAACGATGTATGTTTTTGCCGAGGCACGAGGGAAAGCGTGTAGAAATTTGTCTACCACTATCACCACAAAACCTCAAAACTGATCGGAACACGTATGGGGCAGGTAACGGTCGACGGACTACTTGAACTCAGCCCTTTAAGCCGCCTCTGCGCTCTCTCGCGGGTCCCTCTCCTCTCCAAGGGTCCTCTCCTCTCCAAGGCAAGGTCCCAGGCGCTCGTTGCTCTTCTCTAATGCGTCTGTGGCTCTGGACGATGATCGCGGCAGGACCATTGAGGAAGAAAATCACTAGTGGTCGCGTAAACGGCGAACGGTATCGGCAACAACACGAACACATACCACTCAGAACTGCGTGTTGGCAAAATGAAGCGCTTCACATTTTGAAAAACCTTTTTCATCGCTTCATGGGTTACATAGTGGATTTTTTGAAATGCTCAAAAATATGTTTCACGTTGTCAGTGATACAGTCCAATCAAAGCGAGAGTTCAGAAGTCGAATCTGGCATCGTTGAGGTTTTTAACGATCGACATTCCCTGCACGTCAAATTGCCAGAGTTGGTTTGGTAAGTACCATACAACACAGAACCAACGAAATTCGAACCAGGATGTAGACAGCATACCCTTAGACCAACGCAAGAGTGCAGGAAGGTCACGACCACAGTTGGAATTCAAGTAAAGTCGTAGCTTTAGAAGGAAAGGGCGAGTCGTGATAGAAACCAAAGGGCGGATCAGCACAGATAGAGCACTCGAAAAAGGAGAAGTAGCAAGAGCACAGACGATTACACCTCCATCATGGAAATATCAAAAGAATATACGGGAAAAGAGACGCTGCAGGAAGCTTCTTTGCAACTATCAACACGACCTCACAAACGGGATCAGGAAGTCAAGAAGTAAGGTTGCTGCTGATAATAATCGAAAATATTTGAAAAGCAACTTGCTAATAAAGTTGTGCGCAAGTATGAGGCCGTATTGTAGCCCTCAAATGAACTTCCTGAATGACATGAGGCGACCCCTGCCGAACGAATCCCTGCGGCTGAGGTATCAATTTTCGATAGGGTGATGTAAGAGGCACTTGGCATACAGAGGACAATTTGTTTCCTTCTTTAGAACGAAGAACAAGCAACTGGCTATTAGCCTTACTAGAGATTATTTCATTCTTTTCATGCTCAAGATAGATTTTCCTTCAGTTACAAGCACCTCGAACCTCTTCGCGTCTCTGATTGAACTTCCTCGGAACCAAACCATGTAGAGGTTACTAAGGCTGATGTCAGAGTCCGCGATCCTTTGCGCGATTTTCGCGAAACCTGCGATGGATCACAGGAGTTGGAAGTGCCCGATGAATACTGCGAGGTGTTGTTTAATCCTGCTGCGAATTCTGCTTGGCAGTAAAGATTGGAAGACGAATGTTTGTGGTTCTACTTGTTTCATGTTCAATGTCTATTAGTTCATTGAAATGCTCTTGAATCGTTCCTATTTTTTTCAGGAATCAAACCAAACCAATCACAAAAATTGCAAGTGCCCCATTTGAACAATTGAAACACTGGATATGAAACAAGTGGAATCATGAGCAGTCTCCATTAAACCATAACCATCAAGCAGAAGTGGACGGCGGGATTGGAGAACACCTTGCAGTATTGATGGGGCACTTGTGATTTCCGTGACCCGTCGCGCAAATCGCGAAAATCGCGCAAATCGCGAAAATCGCGAAAATGCGACGGATCGCGGACTCTGACACCAGCCTAACGATCTCACTTCTTAGAAAGTTCTACAGAAGACTTTGAATGAGTCGTACGTACGCCCAACGCATTTCCACACATATTTAAGTCTGTGCCAAAGCAAATGGAGTCTGATTTAAATAGTAGGGCGCAAGGGTAATTTGGGGGAGGGGGAGTGGGGCATTGCAGCTCATTCAGCAATGATTCGCTCCGGCAATAGGGTGGCTTTTCACAAAGTAAAGCTCCGGGGCTTGGGTGTTTTGCTCGACAACAAGTAACTTTTCTGAGTTATTAGTAAGAGGGTACCTTTTTAACTGGGCGGTATTCAATCCTTCCCCCAGGGGATATATCCCCCTCCTCTGATTCAATCCTCTGGGGGGACAAAAAAGGGTTGCGTCATAGGACCTAGCATACCTCTGTGTTTCTACCTGCCAGACAGAGCTGCGATACCCTCCACTGATGAAGCACTCTTTTCCCTGAGGGGTCAGCGCTGCTCTAAC